TGGGCGAGACGCGCTCCCAGACGCGCTCGACGGGCAGTGGCGTCACATCGTCAGCGACGTTTTCGCGCTCGGCGTCCGGCAGGATGCAGCGGGGCCGGAGCTTCGCCTTCCACTCCGCGTCGTCCTTCCAGTTGAGCGGCATGGCGCTGCTCGGGCGGGCACCCGGGGCCGGCGCGGGCTTTCGGACGTCAATTTCCCAAAAGGCCACCATGAATGTAACGCGGCGTGGCTTGAGGAGGAGCGAGAAGCGCCCCGGGCCGCGGCCAGGCACAACACCGTGCAGGACCTTGCCATTGAAGACGACGAACCGGTTCTCTTTCGGGTGCACGAGCCAGCCATGCTTGGCGAGCGACGTGCCGCCAAACGCTTGGTCCGAGACGCACGTCGGGCCGCCGACCGGAGCCTCGAGAAACATGACGGTCGAGACGATCGGGTTACGAACGCCGTCGCGGCCTTCGTCGGCGCTGTCAAAATGAAACTGGTGCCCCGAGTGGTGCGGGCGGCAGTGCGTCCACCACTCTGCAAACTTGGCGTTCTTGACGTTCGGGAAGCGCTCCATTGCGAGGTTCTTGAGATAGTGGATGACGTCTTCGAGGCCCGACGACGGCGGCTTGGAGAGGTCGTGGACATAGCTAAAGTACGGCGACGGCGGGTCCACCGAGTACTGGTGCGCGGCCCAGAACGGTGAGTCGGACGATGCAAACGCGTCCTGCATAAAGTGCAGCATCGTCGGCGGCAACGCGTTGTCGGCGCCGCGCACATATGGGCGGTAGTCGGCGGCCGTGAACGAAAAAGCGTCGGCCGATGGCGGCGGCAAGTCTTCTTCGTACGTGTAGCGCAAGACGCACGTCGCGAGGCGGTGCGTGAAGCCGCGCCGCGCGAGAAACTTGTTGGCCTCGGACGTCTGGCCCGCTTGGATCAGGTGCAACGCATGCTTCTGGGCAGCAATGAACTCAGCCTCCGACTCCTCTTCGACCGGTGCGTACCGGGGCGGGCGCACGCGCTCCTTCTTGCGCTTGGCGCTGCCATCGCGGTCGGCCTTGCGCTTTACCATCGGATTCCGCCGGATAATTCTATGGCGATCCAATTCCCACGTATTTTTCACACGCGTGTTTTTACACCCTTTATCCGGATCCAGCCATTAGCTGGGATCCAGTATTTGATTTGGATGGAAACGTGGCGCGATACTGGAACGGCGCCACCCAATTGAAGCATTGCACTTTTTGCGCAAGGGCTGCTGCTACCGCGTCGTCGATGCAAATAGAATGCGAGCAAGACGCCACCCGCCCCAGCGACCTGCTATGCGATCGTACCAAACAGTGTTTTGATTCGAGCTGCGAAATCTAGTGTAATCAATTGGACTGGGTACCGCAGTCGTGCCACATAGATTACTGCACGCAAGCAAACCGCCGACCATGCTCTACGACCAAGCCGCTGTAATGTTGCCCATTCAAGCACTGTGTCGCTCCTAGTGACGCAAACCATGCACTGGAGCAGCGAGCGGCAAGCCTCCGCCTGACAAACTGCTGTTGACGACGCTAGAGTGCTGCGCCTCAGACCACCGTGCCAGTGTGGTGCGTCACCCATCCGGATGCCGCTGGTTGCCGTCGATTTGCATGGCCCATGCCCCGACCAGGACCTAGCAGTGCTAGGCTAGCACCCAGTTCTTCACTGAATGGAAGGGCAAGGCTCCATGATTCAAGTAGGGGGACCAGGCAAATCGGCGTCGGGCGCCATCTGATTGTGTCACACGCCAGCGTCTGGGGAATATTAATATTTGCGGGCTGGATCTCTGCCACGACCTCACCGCGTTGGCCACTTCGCTTCTGACATAGGACCATCATGCGCCTGCTCTCGCTACTCGGTGCGTATGAAGGACGAAGGGGCCAGCGCTCATGCACCTCGACTTGTAGGGTGCGTGGCAGCAGCATGCGCTGCGACGAATGGCACGTGGCCGCTCGTGTGTCAAACGCGCGGCGACGACCTCTGTGATACGGCGACGGACCTCTGCCCGCCGTGCGTCTCGAGCGCCAACACCTCGAGCCCTGTCTGCGTCGGCTTCAACACGAGCGGCGTGTGCCCCTCTGGCTTTTACATCTGGTCGGTTCCCAACGTGACGCTCGTGCCGGTGCCAACACCAACCTCCGATACGATCACGCTGCCGCCGACAACCACCGCGGCAGCTACGACCGACGCGCCAACGACGACGCCGGCCCCCACGACTACAACTACGCCGACGACAATTGCGCCGACAACTACGATTGCGCCCACGACGCAGCCCGACTCGGACGCCAACACGCGCGCCGAGATGCAGCGACGCAAGGAGGAGCAGGCCGATGTGACGACGATGGGCATCATCGTGGTGGCCGTGGCCGGCACAGTTGCCGCGGTGGCGTCTGTCCTCTTTATGAAGCGATCGAAGCACCGTCAAGAGACCACCAATGTCCAAACACCCCGGCGCGACGTGCTGATTACGACCCGTGCGGCGCCAACGAAGGACGGCGAGAGCCACGACAAGCGGTACTCGGACTGGCTCGAGATCAACGCGGTCGTGTCGCCGCAAGCCGAGGTCGACCTCGTCAACGGCACGCCGCTGGAGCTCTGGGACGAGCTCCCGATTCTCCAGCGCAACCGCGAGCGCGAGCTCACGCTCTTGGAGAACCACGAGTCGACGGACTCGGTCCTTTAGCTCCCATCTCAACATTCTCATCCACACCACTGCTTGCATGGGCTGTATCACTAGCAATAGGACTAGTACTAGCATTATTCATCGCTTTAACAAGCGTCGTCGACCGACGCCTTGCACGCAGGCGGCGTTCGCAGCCATTTTTGCATATCGACGCGCGCAGCTTGCCACGTTACAACCCGCCACCTTTGCACAGATCGAAGCAAGACCTATGTCGGAACCAGTCATTCTTTCTCATATTTGTGTTCGATGCAGAGCTGGTCACACGACCGGCCAACCGACTCAGATCCGTCCTTCCAGAAGCCGGTCTGCTCGGGTGGGGTACTATTGTTTTATAAAAGGAGCGCCACCGAGGACGCAGATCTGACTGGCAAACGCATCTGCGTCAAAAAAGCTTTCGCAAAAAACGCGAAGCTTCGGGACCATTCCGACCTTTGCGTGGCGCAGTGTAACGTTATGTCGATTGATACCAGTTGAAGCTATTATTTCATATATCAGTGCGGGACAATCAATGACAACCACCAATTTCATAAAGTCGTTTATTGGCAGTGTGTTTTGATCCCTTTTTGCATGGACGCTTCAGTTTAAACGCTTTCATTTCACAAAAACGCGCGTTTCAACCCTTGCTGTGGGTGAAACATCGACATCATCGATCCCCGCGCTGGAAACGGCAGTCTTGTTGACAACCGTGCTCGAGCAATCAATGATGAGGCGGTATTTCGCACGAAATGGTTTTTACCAAGTTGCAAGGACGCTTTTGGGTTGGTTTGGAGGCTCGCACAGGCAGCTCGAGTGGCTCGAGCCGCCGCTCGGGCGATGAACGAGCTCAATCACCAAGCGTGAGTCGCCACGAGTGAAGATTGTAGTTGCTGCATGCATCCAATGTTGAGTGATCTGGGGTAGCATTTTTCAATCGACGGTGTGGGAATCATTTGTGCGCCCCGGTGCGGTGGTCCGTGAAGTTGTCAGTGCGGGTTCCGAGCGAAAATTGTAGATCGGCATGCCACGTTTGGCGGTGTAGAACAGAGTCCTTCAGAAGTATT